GAAAGAAAAGTTAGAAAATTAAATGGTCAACTGATGAAAGTATTATATAGACATTCTAGAAAGTTCTATGTGTACTCAATAAATAGTAAAAATGACATGGAAATAGCTTCATAATATGCAACAGAGTTAATAAGAACATTTGAACTCATTTTAGGAAAAATATTTAATATTTAATAATGGGAAGATCATTATTACTCCATTTAACAATTATGAGAATCCTTTTGTGTACCAGGTCCTGTGTTAGGCACTGAAAGTACAGTGAAGACTAGCTGTCCTCAGGCAGGGAACAGATTAGGGAACTATCAAGGAAGGGCCCATATGCAGGCAATCACCAAAAGAGCTATTTAACTACAGTAGCAAGCTGCCTTTAAGTATAATCCCCGAAAATTCGTCCCCCTTCTGAATGCCCAGGTCACCCCTCCCATCAAAAGTAGAATCTCTTTTTCCCTCCCCTTGAACGTAGCCTTGCAATTTGCTTGGATGAGGAAAATGTGGCCTAAGTAACACTGTGCCAATTCCAATCCCACATAGTAAGATATCTGAAAGTTTCTAGTTTTGTTTTCTTGCTGCCCTGAACTGCCATGTACTTCATGATAGTCCACGACTACCTGAGGAGAGGGACACCATGTGAAGAGAGAGGCCCTGCAGGACAATGACAACAGGTGAAATGGAGAGCACAAGAACGAAGGTGTTTCAGTAGACAACCAGCATCGCAGCCCCAGACAAGAAGTGAGGTGAAGAAGTGACGAGCCTTCAGCCTAGTCAGCCTGCTTCACCTGGGAGCAGATGAAACAGAGACAAGTTGGCACCACTCACCCCGACCAATTTCTAGTTCACAGAGTCATAAGCAAAAAACATAGGCACTTTGAAGTGATTTGTTATACTGCAATAGGTACGTGAGATAAAAAGTGGTGCCTGGAAAGGGTGCTACTGGAACAGAAACCTGAAACACTGGCTTTGAGGACACTGAGACAGGCAGAAGCTGGAAGGGCAAGAAGAGACAGGGTACTCTTAGAGTGGTAAGGAAACTGCTCTACAAAGCCAGAAGAAGAGGTGCCCATATTATAAACTGGCAGAACAATTAGCATTATGATCAAAAGTAAAAATAACTTAAAACATTAAAAATAACCTAGCGAACCTATAGATCTAGCTAAGATCTCTAGGTAAAATATTCAAAGTGTCACTGGCTCCTTTATAGCCAAGTATGTAAAGGTAAAAGAAGAAAAACATGAGCTAAAGAATTACAAGCAGAATTTAAAGGAAATATTTCTAACCAGGAGTTGCTTGGTTGGAAAATTTTAACTGCTTCTCATCACTAGCCTTTACAGATAGCAAAAGACTGTCAAAGAAATGACATGAAGACAAAGATCAAATCCAGAGCACTGCCAATAAATCATGGGCTCACAATCATCAAATCGAAAACTCATCTATAAAATCCTTTATTAAGACCACTGAAAGACTTAATAAGATAGGGCTTACATTCTCTCTCGGGTAGGCAAAAGGGCTTCTAAGAACCTTACAGGACCCTAAATTGGGATCCAAAGTAGAGAGAGTCCTGTCACTCACAGAACTGTGGATGTGACTATTGCCTAATGGAATGCACTTATAATCTGACACACAGAAAACCCACAATGTTTAGACTAAAACAAACATTGTCCCAAATGAAAAGAGGCCTTTAAGTTTTCAAACTGTCACATACATGAATCAGACAAAAATGACTACTCAGGTGTAAACAAGGCCCATTTCATATGGAGAAGTAAAAATGAGTCAGCAAGTAGAGGCAAAAGCCCAAAAGACCAAGCCAAGAGCTGAGAAAAGTAAAGAATTATGTAAGCACTACCAGAAGTCAGAGCCAAGACCTAATCAAAGAACATTCTCTGTTCCCTGATTAGATTTCGGAATTGCTTTGGACCAGAGGCTGCTATATGCTTCCCATTCTTTCACACTCCACTGGGAGTATCTATTGTGTGGTTAAGAATTCCTGTCTTGGGGTGCCTAGGTGGCTCTGTTGGTTAAGTGTCTGCCTTTGGCTCAGGTCATAATTCCAGGGTGCTAGGGCTGAGCTCCTCGTTGGGGCTCCCTGCTGTGTGGGGAGCTTGCTTCTCTCTCTCTCCCTCCCTCCCTCCCTCTGCCATTCCCCCTGTCTATGCTCTCTCGGTCTCTGTCAAATAAATAAAATCTTTAAAAAAAAATTTTTTTAATTCCTGTCTCAAAATTGTATATGGAGTGAATGGAGGGTGGGGGTGGGGTAAAATTTGTCTTCTTAGTTCACAGGTATCCAAAATCAAGAGGAGCTGTACCCAGAAATCCTCACCCACATGCTGACCTAATGTAGATCATAAAGTAAAAGACTTTGAAAATGAGGTCCTAACTGAACAAGACTTCTGGTCATCTTCAGAGGACTCAGTACTGCACGTTGGAGAGACACCATACTGTCCATTAGAACAACTGTGATACAGTCCATCTGCAAAGACGGCTACCAACAATTCCTCCTATTCCTGACTTTATACATGCTACTCCTCCCATCAGGAAGTGGAATCTATTTCTACATCCCTTAAATCTTGGCTAATGTTGTGTTCTGCTTTGAAAAAGAGAATGTGATAAAAAATAATGCTGTCTAGTTTCAGGCTGAGGCCTTAAGAGGCTGAGATCTTTTGCTTTTGTTCTCTGGTTACCTTAAATCACCATGTAAAGAAATCCAGGTTATTCTTCTAGATAGAAGCCAAGAAGAGAGAAAAGCCCTGGCTGATGAGCAAATAGACCACCTAGAGAAGAAATGAAGTGCCTCAGCTAAAAGCTAGCACCAAGACCATTTTGGATCAACTAGCCCCATTCAAGTTACCTAAGTCAACATCTCATGGACCAAAGCAAGGTATCCCCTGCCCAAACTCCTGACCCCAAATTTGTGAGCAATAATTTATAGAATGATAGCTGTGATTTTAAACCACTAAGTTTTGAAGCAATCTTTCACACAGTAATGGACAACTAATACAGGTAGCAAGTACAGCAAAGGCTACAAAGGAAAAGTACTAGGTATTTTCTAAGAGTCAGTATTAGAGATGTAAATGTAATCTGGGAGAGAGGGAAGATCTCTTGAGAAGTGATATACTTAACAGTGGTTATTTAATAATACTTAATAGAGGGGGAATTATGAATAAGAATTTTGGTTGATTTTAAGTTTCTGTTTTCCTAAATTTTCAACATTACATGTTTTACTTTTGAAGTAACAACAAAAATATTATTTTGTTAAAAGTTCCTTAAGGATATTGTTGGCCTTATTAAGTCTAAGATGTATTTTCTCATGATAAAATATGCAAACATTCCAAGAAATAACAAAAGTTTTCTATTATTCTATGTAATTGAAGAATGGAATGTTCTGATTGTACTAGCATTCCAGGAAATAAACAGCATATATTGGTTTAACAATTTCTAAAGGATTAGAATGTGGTAAAACACAATTAACCTAAAATTCTATTGCTTATAATTTAATATCACACTGATTTTCTGGAAACTTCTTCAGGTTTACACAATGCATCATAGTTATCACTGTGAATAGATGGAAATTAAATAACCTTTTCCTAACAGAATTTAGAGTGGAAATGATCCAAAAAGATTACCACAATAGACTAAAACCAACAAGAAAAAATTAAACAGTAGTAATTGAGAGTTAAAAAGAAACCACAAAAGTACAAGAGAGAAAATAATCCAACTTAACTACAGGAAAAAGACTTGGGCTTTAGCTGGCCACAAGGGTATTACTCAATAACAAGTAAGCCATATCGACACAAAAAATATTAATGTGATCTTGGACTTTATTAATACATTTAATTAACAAATATTTACTGTGAACCTATACAGTACACCATGTATTTAACTAAGAGAATAAAATGACAAGATCCAGAGAAGGAATAATCTCACCACATTAAGAACTAGTCAAACTGTATATGGAATATTAAGTCCATGTAAAGGAAATGGCTGAAAAAATTAAACAAATGTGACCTATAAAAGGAAGACTTTCTAATTTGAATATTGCCCTAAAAGAAAAAAGCTCTTTAAAAAATTCTTTCAGGGATGCCTGGGTGGCTCAGGTCATGATCCCAGGGTCCTGGGATCGAGTCCCACATGGGGCTTCTTGCTCAGCAGAGAGCCGGCTTATCCCTCTGCCTGCCGCTGCCCCTGCTTGTGCTCTCTCTTGCTCTTTCTCTCTCTCTGACAAATAAAAGCTTTAAAATATTAAATAAATTAAACAAATAAATAAACTTTTTCATTTTACAAAATAAATTACTGACTACTACCTAATGGGCATTATGCTAGGCAGTGGGATACAAGTAGAGAATAAAATAGGTTTTGTCCCTGTCCTCATCCTACTTAATAGTCTTATGGGCATCCTATCACTGGAAGACCTTTTGCAAGTACCAAATACTAATTTGTCAAGTCTATCATAAAAAATATTCACATACTTTGCATAAAGCTGAAATAAATGAGCTCCAATGTTACTTCCAAATCTAAAATTTTTGATTACTTACTTATAGCATAAAAGAATTTGTTATTCTGAGATAAATGTCTAATGAATAAAATAAAAGGCAGACACACACATACCCCTGCACTCACATATAAACACACACACAGGTTTTTAAAACATTATCACCTAATAAAAAAACCACGTCAATTCACATGTTCAGCCTTCATAGGCAAACTACTCAAAACCAACTTCAATCAACGTTAGAAATATCCAATCTCAAAATTTTATATCATTTCAAATAGTAAAATTTTTTTAAGATTTCTTTGTTTTTTAGTAATCTCTAGAACCAGTGTAGGGCTCAAACTTCCAACTCTGAGATTGAAGAGCTGTAGGCTCTACCAACTGAGCCAGCCACCCCTCAAATAACAAAAAATTTTTAAAATCTCTTTATCCTAATGATTATTTTACCCAGTGAAAATAATTCCAAAGAACTTAATACTTGTGATTTCTCTGGGATTTCTTATATTAATCAATATACCTTTCCATGGCTTTAGCTGTATAAGGCAAATGCATTTCAATACTGTGTTCATCTTCATCTGTCTGCAGAGACATGCGTTCAAACATTCCTGTCTTCCATAGTTCTCCGTAAACTAAAGAGATTTCAAAATATAGTAAAACAAATATATTAATGTATATCCTTATTCTGTGAGACTCCACCCAGTAACAAAAAACTACATGCTTTGGCAAGAGACAGAAGAATCACATAATTATTTTCCTTCATTTTTATCGTTAAAAAAGAAAAAAACTAGCTTTTTACAAACTAAACAAAGCAATAATACATGTGATGGCTACTCAGCATTTTCATATGTTGCACAGCTATATAAAAATAATCATTTAAAATGTTCATCAGTTCTTTTATTACATCTAAAATCACCTCTGGGTCTAAGCTTTCCCTTGATTTCAATCAGCACATGCCAACAAGAACACAGTTGATTAGAACTCCTAGTAAAACATGGCAAAGCCCCTGCTCCACCTACTCGTGAGGCTCATAACACAGTTTTTAAGTTTTGTTTCACTTTATTATAAAATCTGTGGGATTATTATTTCCCATCTCAGATGCCTGCCACACAAAGTACAGAAAACTCCTATTAATTTTCCTTCAAAATTAAAAATTAAGCTTCTGGGACAGACCAGAACATAAATTCACCATAATACCATGCCATGAATAATTCTAAAATGATCTAGTAATTCAGACCCTTCTGATGAATTATACTTAAAAATAGATATGATATAATAAGAAGATGAAATTTAATATGTAAAAAAGTGATATAAGAATATTTTTGTTTGTCATAGAACAAAACCATTTTTATAACTACATCCTTAATTGGGTTTACCAATATTAAAGAAACAAATGATGGCATGACTTTTTTTCTGCTCAGTTTTGCCTGATTAAAAATCACCCATTCCTTTACTAGGAAGCTATCTAAAACCAAAATTTTCTGAATGCCCCAACAAGGTTTTAAAAATAAAGTATGTTCCCTAAAAGCATCACAGGGAGTAATAAGGCTGGTTATACTCCAGCTTCATTTGTAAAAATTATTCTAACAACAAATTACTGATAGTAACAATTAAAACCCCAAATTATGAAAAATTGGGCCCCAAAAATAAAGAAAAAGAGGTGACTGTCAATTTTGCAAATGGCTTCTTTCATCCTAGAGAAGAATTTGTTCCAAGATTTCTTGAAACAATAAGCACCCAACATACTTGAAATCTGATGTGATGAACTGGAGGAATACAAAGCAAGCTCATGAAGATGGCTTTTGAGAAGGCAAATTGAGTTCAGTTAAGAGGAAAACTCTGAGTCAATTGTGGATGGTAAGTACAAGAATATTTGTTTTGCTATTCTCTGTACAGTTCTACATTTTTAAAATGATGCTCCCCACTATTCCAAAAATACTATTATAAAGCAAAAAGATTTCAATTTTCACATTCAATGTATAAAATGAGACGAACTAAATAAAAGATACATAACAAAATAAGAGATACGTTTTAAAAATAAAATACACTTAACATTTATGAAGCACCTTTGTTTAAGTGTTTCACCCCCCGGCCATAAAAATCATCTGGGAAGAAATTAAGGCATTATCACCATGACCTATTTACAATGAGGAAAGTGATATACACAGAGTCAGACTAACATGCCCAGAATCTTTCTTCAAGTTGTAGTGGGTACTAATTGCTTGTCTTCATGGTTTAGTGAGTACAAGACACTTCCCTGAATACACATGTAATATGAACAGTCTGGAGACTAGTGGACCTGACAGATTTTTGCAGCTAGCAAAAAAACTCTGGTTGTCTTTAAGGCATACAGAAGATCTTCTACCTTTGTTTTTGCTTTATGCAGATAAGTTGAAATCAATTTTATCTTTAAAACTGAGATTTTACTTATACTATTCATATTTTTAATTTTTTAAATTAACTTATTTAAAAAAAATTCTTTAGCCCTTTAAAAGCTCTAAGATGTCTATATACTTACTCTTTTGGTCAATACGAAGGTCATACAGAGGTGTCCTATATATATCCACACTGGAAAGTGCACATCGAGAGAGGGGCACATGATGAGAAGGCCCAAGGATGAAAATTCTCCGGCTAGGAGATACACAACAAAAAGCACAGAACAATTGTACTTCTACACAAACCTTATTAAATTAAAGGGGAAAAAATAAGTAATTTTAAAAAATCACATGTGGCACCATTTTCTTTCTTGACTGATTTCATTACTTACTAGTATGAGCTAAATTATGTACTCCTAGAATTTATGTTGAAGTTCCATGCCAGTACCTCAGAATATAACCATTTTAGGAGAAATATAACCATTTTAAGTATTAGAACAGATCATTAAGTAAAAATGAGGCTATTCGGGTAAGGCCTGAATCCAATGACTGGTGTTCTTATAAGAAGAGGAAGAAATATCAGGGGCATACATGCACAGAGAGGAAAAAAGCATCAAGAAGACAGTCATCTGCAAACCAAGAAGAAAGGCTTCAGGAGAAACCAATCCTAAGAGCACCCTCCTCTGGGTCTGCCCACCTCTAGACTGAGACAAAATAAATTTCTGTTTTCAGTTAGGATTAGTGGCAGTTTATTATAGGAGGGCCAGAAAACTACTATAAATGCAACTGATTTGCTCCTCAGTTAATTAAGTTCAATTCCTTATCTTTGTCTTTTTGTTGAAAGGCTTTAAAAGAACCATTTAAAAAAAGAAGAAAAGAAAAGAACCATTTTCAACACCCGGGCATACTAGTTACTGATTTGTTGAACTACAGTAAATCAACTGCTACACTTAAAATCATCTCTGTATTCATAATGTCCAGGATACAGAAGGTTTTCAATAGCTATATTCATTGAATTTAAACATTTCAGCTATAAATAAAAGCCCAAAATTCTAACACGTTCTAAACTTGCCTCATAAGATCCACCACCACTTTAGTAAAACTACATAATAGTATAATTTCTAAAACTCCCTATAAAATATCATTACAAAGAACCATTCTGATAAAGCTATTTCCACATTTCTACCATAGCAGAGAAAAAAGGAATCTTGTTGAGAAAAAATTCTGTATAATAAGCTTTCTCTGTTCCCATTCAAGTAGACAGAAGTCATTCTCAAAAACAAAGAAACTTGATTATGTGTTATTTGCACTGTAGCTAAAGAAAAGAACTGGGCTAAACTATAGCTTAAATCTTTACAATCCCTTTATCTTGACATCAAGGGTAAAATTAACTTCCCCTCTTATCTCAAACATCACTACAATCTAAATTCCAAAACAACCCATTTTCTGTTCTCTCAGATTCAATCGAACAAAATCTTTCTCTAACACACACATACAAACTTACAGATTTGAAAACCAAAACTACGAAAAAGAAACGATAAGCTAGAAAAATGTACCTAGAAAAAATTAATTATACTCGTTTTTCAATTAATGGACAAAGACTGAGACATGAGCTAGTTCTTTCAGACCAAAAATTTACAAGATAAGAAATGCACTTAGGCGATATATTTATTTTCATAAAATTCAATTACAGTTAAGAAAATTAACTCACTGTTGATACATGTTACTTGCTGTGGTGGAGGAAGAGACGGTAAGGAAGATGTGGATGAGGAAAACAGAGATTCTCAGTTTAGAGTCCCAAAACTTCCTCAAGATGTCACAGATCGCAAACATAAGACTTCATCCACAGGCCATTCCTAGTCAAGACCATAATCTCTCCTCATCCCCTTCCTCCTCCACTGCTAATACTCACTTCTTATCATCACCACTATGAACAAAGTCAACAGCCATTTCCAAAAAAAAAGAAAAAAAAAGATTAAATCAAATTTAGATCCCTAAATGAACAAAAGAGATACCATTATGCTTTCCTGTCTTAAGAGTATATAAACATCATCACAATTTTTTAAATTAAAGTCTAATGAGGGACACAGATAATGGTTGTGTTTAGATGATTTGTCTAAGGAAAAGTATTACATGAACTAAGAATCAAGTATGAAAAGAAGGCATTTTTATGATTGAGGAAAGCATTTCTACGACAAGACAGAGGAACAGAATATTTAAAATCAGAACACTCCTAGGAAATCCAGCATATATAATTAAAATATGAAATGACTTTTAAAATATCAATTTAAACTCAAGACACAGATACATTTCTAGGTAAGTATAACAAGGTTCTAATAGTGACCAAAATATGAGCACTACTCCAGAAATAAACACCAAAGGTCAGCCTGGAAAGCCTAACTGTCCCCTGCAATATCAGACAATTTACTTTGTTGGCCTTTATTGCCAGACCCAACCCACATGAAAAGGTAAGACTGGTGGAGAAAAGAGCTCCCACCATCTGAATTAGCCAATTGTGTACTCAATTCTTTCCATCCTAACAGAAACTCACTCATATGCAACACAAGGAAAAAGAGGTTTAGGTCATAACAATATGAAATCTTCATAAGTGATAAACCCAAAAATAGGCTAGACATCATTGAAAAGAAGGGTGGGGGGAGCACCTATTAGTAGTAATTTCAAAATTTCTCTTTGTTAGAAAAGAAAATTAATAATGTAAAAAGAAAATTAATAATGTAAATAAAAAATAATCCATTTTCGGGCACCTGGGTGGCTCAGTCAGTTAACCGACTGCTTTCAACTCAGGTGATGATCCTGGAGTCCCGGGATCAAGTCCCGCATTGGGCTCCTAGCTCCACAGGGAGTCTGCTTCTCCCTGTGACCTTCTCCTCTCTCATGTTCTCTCTCACTCTCTCTCCCTCAAATAAATAAATAAAATCTTAAAAAAATAATAATGCATTTTCTTTTGAGGGGAGCTAGATTGCTAGATCCATTAACATCAAGGCCTCAGGAATATTTTGGAGAAAAATGAGTAATATAGGCATTGGAAGCAATGCTACTTTCTCTCCCTCCAATTAATTACAAAGTACTTGGTCTTTAAATGAGTAACTGATAAATTTAGCATATCATCACTGTTGTCATGTTGTCACACATGTAAAAAAAAACCCTTAATATGAAAAAAAAAGGAAAAAGTAACGAAGTATTCTCTTAGAAATAAATGTAGTTTATGTATAATACCTCCAGAGAATTCACATTTGTATAGTTACTATGAGAAGTATAGCCTGTGCAACCCATTAACAAGCTACCTAAGTATCTACCCTCATAAATATTCAACTATTTATTCTAAATAATGGAAAACAAGTAATTTTTTAAAGATATTTCTTGGCAAGTAGAGATATTTTAACTAAACTAAATGTCAGTTGGCCCCAAAGAAGATCCCTTTTGCTCTTTTTTCTACCCTGAAAGGCTTTCTGAAAGATGAATCAAAATCAAGTTACTATCTAATAAGTACATCCTAAGTTCCAGGTTTTCAATTAAAGTTTTAGTAATAGGAAAAGACATTGCAACAGTAAATATGAGAAGGAACTTACTTAAATATACCATTTTTTAAATTCCTTAAACAACCAAGGTACTCCTTTAAATATAAATCAGATCCCATCACTCCCCCGCTTAAAAGGTCTTTCAATGACTTCTCCTAATCAGAGGATAAAATGTAAACTCCTTACAATGGGTTCTGAAGTCTCAAATGCACTGGCCCCATCTTGCATGACCCCCCCCCCCCCCACCGCCATCCCTGATCACAATAGTTTGCAGATACTGATCTTGCAGTTCCTTGATGACTGGAACACAACTCAGCCTACTTCAAAGCCTTCACAAGTGCTACTGTTCCTTCTGATCGGGCTTAAAAATCATTTCCTCAGAAATGCCCTCCCCAACACCCATGATCTAAATCCAATCACCTTGTGCTCCTTCCGCAGCCCATAAACTAAATCCAATCACCCTGTATCACAGCACTTCTCAAATTGTGAACTGCAGATTCCGTAAGACCCTTTCAAGGAGTCCACAAAATCAAAACTATTTTCATAATAATCAGGAATTTATTTGCCTTTTCCACTGTGTTGACATTTGTACTTAGGGTACAAAAATGAGTCTGGGTAAACCACTGGCACCTCAGAACTGTGATCACGGTAATGGAATCAAAATGTACATCTAGTCATGTGTTCTTTACCTTCACCCACACCAAAGTTTGCTGGGTTTTGTTTGTTTTTTTAGGCCAGTTTCACTTACTTTCATTAAATCTTGAACTCTTAGTACAGTTTTATAAAAATATTCTATACAACAAAATGTATTAAATTGGTGGTGATAAATGCACAAAGCACTTCTGCAATATACTAAATGATGTCATGTGGAAAACATTTGTGTGATTATGAGTGTGATCTAAACCAAACTTTTTTTTTCATGGAACACAATTTTTACTTCAAAAAGTGACTGTAGACAAATTACAGTTATTCCAATTTAGGTATTTGGCAGAAACTTCCTAGAAAATGAACAAAATAGGCCTGCCACTTCAAAGAAAACATTGCCCAAGACATAACTGAAGCTTTTAAGTGAAAATCAGCCTCTTGCAAAACTTCTATCACTGTGAGATGGACAGCTTCCCAATAATTAAAGATATTTCCAGGGGCGCCTGGGTGGCTCAGTGGGTTAAGCCTCTGCCTTCGGCTCAGGTCATGATCCCAGGGTCCTGGGATCGAGCCCCGCATAGGGCTCTCTGCTCAGTGGGGAGCCTGCTTCCCTTCCTCTCTGCCTGCCTCTCTGCCTACTTGTGATCTCTGTCAAATAAATAAATAAAATCTTAAAAAAAAAAATCCATTCAAAGTACAAGAGAGTACAAAAGATGATCTTAGTTGACATGTAGGGAATGGATTAGTGTGGAAGGTAAGAATGGAAGCTAATGGCAGAGAATTTAATCTTCTGTGTTGGACTGTTGTTTTTTCTCTAAACTTCTCATAGTTCCCAGAAAGACGTTCTTCTATTTTTCTCAAAGGACTCTGAAACATTGCCAATCTTAAGGAGGGCCACGTTTAAGAGGATACTGTCAATAACTGCCAATCGTTTTTAACCCTTGGACCTTCAGATTTACTTGTTCAAAATTCAATTATTACATACTAATTATAGAAATAAGCTGATCACATCTTCATGCATCATTTGCCTCTCTTATTACTCACCTCCTCTATCATCATCTTAGTCCTTGACTCTCTTCCATTTACTCTTCTTCACTCCATTCACACTTTCTATCAACTTATTTAATACATGCTTTCTGCATCTACCAACATAGTTTCTATATCTCTCTACATATTACTAAGCCAAATTTAATTCAAGACTACCCTTCTAGAAAATAACATCATCAAATAGGTTTTGAAAAGGCTATCATATTCACTAACTTTGATTATAGCTTTTTAGGCTAAAATGACGGAAACTTTTGGAAATCTTCCCACTCTATTTTTTTTCTTACTCATGAAATAAATTAGCTGAAATTGTATAATAAATATGTATTAAGAAGTACTTGTTAAAGACACTCCTCAAGACATCATAAATGAGGCCGGGCTAACCAAAACCTCATCAATTTGGCAACATTATCATTTTATTATTAAAAACTTACTAAAAATAATTTCCAACAAAGGTATGATATAATATGCAGAGCACACTACCAAAAAACTTCTTTTGAAGGATTATGCTCCACCTCTACTAACACAAGTCTAACCTAACAATCAACATTTGACAGAATTAAGATGGCTGATTTTACCTATTCGTACAGTGTGTAATAACTGGCGTACAGACTGGTGCCTGATACTTGTTCACATTTGTGAATTAAATATTTAGATAAAATGCTGGTCAGCAAATTAAGTAATTTAGGTGGCTATTTCTAGCAGAAGTTTTTCAAAGTTCACAAATTTCTTAGAGAGTCGTATATTACTTAATAAGTCTCAATCTGCCAGAAAAAAATTTTAAAGCTAATCTCAGAGCTTTTATTGAATTAAGAGCTAACATGCTTCAAACACCATATTACATTCACTGTCAGATTCTAAAATAATTCAGCTACCTCATTAAGCCAATAAGAAATTATTTTCTTTCATTAACCACAATTTAACAAGCAGAATAAACAATTTTAAATTACAAAATGATTAACAGAACAAAGTGCTGTCCATTCTTAAAGATGTTCATCTCCCGATTTCAAAAAAAAAATTTTTTAAACCAAAACATTTAACCTTCTAACACTTCCAGAACTAAACATATTACCAACAAAAGGAAAAGTAAAAACTAAATGTTCAGACCATGAAAAACAGTATAAAAGCTTTTCATAACCTATATAAGGTATAATAAATATATAAAAAGTTAAATTCTTAATGAAATCGAGTATATAACAATAAGCATGCCAAAACAAATTACTTCTGTGACAAAGTGGTTATAATTCCCTCTCACTTAAACAAAACTGTGTATTACTTACGTAATAGATGGGTCCACTTGTTTGTAAGCATGAGCAGCACAAGACCCACAGTATGTATATCCTGCGTGGCTACAAAACAAAATATTTTTTAAACTTAATCATCAGATTCGAAATCAAGATATTCTCAAAAGAAAAAAACCTCTTGAAAGAAATATAGTAACTATGGTAAACATTACAGAATTAAGTGTATAGATAAAAAAGCAATGTAGCTAATGATGCAAACTCTAGCACACAACAGAGAACATGTAATAGTTCTATGTTCTAATTTTAAATTTTAAAAAGTATTTTGTAATTTTTTTGGTCTTAAAAACAATTAAATTTAGATACTCCAGGCTTACTGGAAGTTGCTATGTAATACTAATAATACGTGAGTTTTTAACATTCCTCTTCGATATTATTAGCAGATTATTACATAGCAATGAGACCCAGAGCAAATCAAATCAGACCAAAACAAATATCCTACAATAGCAACTCACTTTCTTTTTCTATTTTCTTTTTATTTATACTTTTTAAAAATTGAATTATAATTAACATACAGTGTTATGTTAGTTTCACGTATACAATATGTGATTCAAGAATTCTATACATTTCTCTGTGTTCATCGAGTACACTCCTAATCTTTTATCTATTTTACCCATCATCCCCCTAACCTCCCCCTCTCTGGCAGCCACGCGTTTATTCTCAGTATTTAATAGTCTGGTTTTCTATCTCTTTTTTTTCCTTGTTCATTTTTTTTTACATCTTACTTATGAGTGAAATCATATTTATCTTTCTCCGACCTATTTCACTAGGCATTTATAACCTCTAAGTCCATCCATGTTGTCACAAATGGCAAGATCTCATTCTTTTTATGGCTAATATTCCATTGTATATGTGTGCACATGCATGCATGCATGTGTGGGTGTGTATATATCACATCTTTATCCATTCATCTATACCAATGGACACTTGAGTTGCTTCCGTATCTTGGCTATTGTGAATAATGCTACAATAAACAGGGATGCATGTATCTTTTCAAGTCAGTGTTTTTGTTTTCATTGGGTAAATACCAAGTAGTGGAATTACTGGATCATGTGGCAATTCTACTTTTAATTTTTTTAAAGATTTTATTTATTTTTTTATTCAAGAGAGAAAGTGTGCACAAACAGAGAGATGGGCATAGGGTTAACAGATTCCCCACAGGGCAGGGAGGGAGCCCAAAAGAGGAGCTCAATCCCAGGACCCTGAAATCATGACCTCAGCCAAAGGCACACTTAACCAACTGAGCCACCAAGGTGCTCCTCTACTTTCAATTTTTTGAGAAACCTCCAACCTGTTTTCCACAGTGGCTGCAACAATTTGCACCAACAGTGCAAGAGGGTTCCTTTTTCTCCACATCCTCACCAACACTTATTTCTTGGCTTTTTGATTCTAGCTACTCTAACAGAGATGAGGTGATTTCTCAGTGTGGTTTTGATTTGCATTTCCCTGATGATGAGTGATTAAGCATCTTCCCAATATTTCTACTGCCCATCTGTATGTCTTCTTTGGAAAAATGTCTACTCAAGTCCTCTGCCCATTTTTATCAGATTATTTGTTTTTGTTGTTGTTGTTACTGAGTTGTAGACATTCTTCATATATTTTAGATATTAACTCCTTATAAGATACATCATTTGCAAATATCTTCTCTCATTCAATAGGCCGACTTTTTGTTTTGTTGATGGTTTCTTTGACTGTACAAAAGCTTTTTATTTTGGTGTAGTCCCAATAGTTTAATTTTTGCTTTTGTTCCCTTGCCTGAAAAGATATCTAGAAAAATATTTCTACATCCCAAGCAATCTCTAACAAAATACAAACAGTATTTTTCAAAGAACTAGAACAAATAGTACTAAAATTTGTATGGAACCACAGAAGACCCCAAACAGCCAAGCAATCTTGAGAAAGAGGAGCAAAGCTGAAGGTATCACAATCCCAAATTTCAAGATACATCATAAAGCTGTAGTAATTAAAAGAGTATGGTATTGGAACAAAAACAGACAGATCAATGGAACAGAATAGGGGCCTAGAAATAAGTCCATGCTCATATGGTCAATTAATCTATGACAAAGGAGGCAAGGATTTACAATAGGGAAGAACAGTCTCTTCAGCAAATGGTATTGGGAAAACTGCACAGCTACAGGCAGAAGAATGAAAATGGACCATGTTTTTATACCCATATACAAAAACTCCAAATGGATTGAAGAACTGTGAGACCTGAAATCATAAAACTCCTAGAAGAAAATAACTCACTTCTTCTATGTCTTTAGTAATAAGAGAACTGACTTGATTTTCTGTGTATTACGCCTTTCATTTTCTCCCCCTACTATTCATCCCTTTCATCTTTTGGTTTCAGAATTATATTTGGTTCTCTTATCACCTATGGAATGACTTTGTTTCCTGACCTCATTTTTTTTTCTTGACTCATTCAAGTTACATGAGTTTAACACATTTTCCTGGTGCTTACTTATTAGTGTGTGGCCAGTGGTATGCTGGGAAATATTTAACAACTGTCTCTACAGGAAAAAAAAAAATGTACATATGTGTACATAAGCTTACTATAAACTCTACTGAGTTAAAAAGATATGCACCACACAATTTACAAATAATGAAAAAAATATAAATCTCTTTATCGCCAATTCCACAGTCAACTGATTGTCACAGAAGACTTCCACTGATTTTTGCTGAATTCTCATATCCATACCCAAGCGATGGAACAATGAAGACATACGTCTGACCTGAATGATTCTCTGCTGATTAGATAACAGTTTTCAAATATTAGAACATTTCCTTCATTACTTTCTTACACTTTTTATAACGTAAGAGCTTCAGACACAACATACTTTTCAGTTTAATCTGCATTATTAACACTTTCCCCATTTCTTAAGTACAAACAATCAACAAAAGGTAAATCAAGCCCTGATTTATAGCAACTTGCCAATTAATGTGGAGTAATTCATTCCTGCCATAACTGATTACAAAATGTACAATAAACTGAAAAGACAAAACACAGGCTGGTAGAAAATAACTGTAAAACATATATCTGACACAGGATTTATATCTGAATATGTAAAGAAATTTTAAAAGAAACCCAATACTTAAAACAGGTAACCATTTTGTAAGGCGAATAGCTCTGAAAATTGGTTGCAAAATAACAAGAATATATTTAATGCTACTAAACTGTAAGATGGGGGGGGGTGCCTGGGTGGCTCAGTCAGTTGAGCATCTGACTCTTGATTTCAGCTCAGGTAATGATTTCAGGGTCCTGGGGTCAAGCACCAAGTCAGGCTCTGCACTCAGTGGGGAGTCTGCTTGAGGATTCTCTCTCTCCCCTGCCCCACCCCACATATACACTCATGTGCTCTTTCTCTATCTCTCTAATAAATAAATAAATCTTTTTTTTTTTTTTTTTTAGATTTCATTTATTTATTTGACAGACAGAGATCACAGTAGGCAGAGAGATAGGCAGAGAGTGGGGGGAAGCAGGCTCCCTGCCAAGCAGAGAGCCTGATGCGAGGCTCGATCCCAGGACCCCAGGACCATGACCCAAGCTGAAGGCAGAGGCTTTAACCCACTGAAACACCCACATGCCCCTAAATAAATCTTTAAAAACAATAAAAATAAAAATGTTGGGGTACCTGGGTGGCTCAGTCAGTTAAACATCTCCCTTCAGCTCAACTCATGATCCTGGAGTCCTGTGATCAAGCCCTGTATCAGGCTCTCTGCTCAATGGGGAGTCTGCTTCTCCCTCTGACCCTCCCTCTTCTCCTGCTCTCACAATCTCTCTCTCTCACTGTCCCTCTCAAGTACATAAAATCTTTTTGAAAAAAATAAAAAATAAAGATGCCTAAGATGGTACGTTTTACGTTATGTATATTTTACTACATTTTTTTAAATAGGAAAAGCTTTGAAGAAATACTTCAACATAGAATATACTGGGATGGCAAATAAGCACACAAAAAGAATGTTCAATATCATTTAGGGAAAGGCAAATTAAAACTACAAAAAGCTACCACTAAACTCCCAGCAGAATAGCTAAAATTGAAAAGAGTAACCATACCAAGTATGCTCAGGATGTAGAATTGAAACCCAGGCTACACTGTTACAACCACTTTTGAAAACAGTTTGGCAATTTCTTAAGAAGTTAAATATACTCCTACCATATGACCCAGCTTTCCACTCCTAAGAAAACTGGAAGCATTATAACCACAAAGATTTGTACACAAATGTTCACCCCAGCTTCATTTGCAACAGTCAAAAACCGGAAACAACCAAATGTTCCTCCAAAGGTGAATGGATAAACAATTTGAGGAGTTAGTCCTACAGTGGAATACTCTTCAGCAAGAGACAGGAATGAACTACTGATAAACTCAAAAATAATTATGCAAAAAAAAGATGGTAAGAAAGAAATATGCTGAGAAAAGCCAGACAAAAAGAGTTCATACTGTATAATCCTACTAATTCAAATAAAAACTAGCATGTAGCAACACAGAGTAAGTCAATGCATGTGGGTAGAAAGAAGAGACAGAGAGGTACAGAAGGGAAGAGTTACAAAAGGGCGCAAGGAAACTTGAGGATGATGAATATGTTTATTACCTTAATTGTTATGGTTTCACAGGTATATACATATTTCAAATGTATCCCTCTGTACCTTTAAATATAGGCAGCTGTATGTTAATCCTAGCAAAATAGAGCTCTGTTTTTAAAAGGGTCATCATTTGGTCTAGCTTAAACTATGAATGGAGAAAAAGAGATTCACCTAAGTCAGTCATAGCAATACAGGATAGCAGGATGCTTAATCAAGAGTTAAGTAATGTGGCACCTACACTAAGCACCTGAAGTCACCGAAGGCCTTATTGGTTGGATTAATGGTAGTCACCCTATCCATATCCCTCCGGCAAGAGAGCCTATCACGTTGCTTCAGTATAGCAATATTCTCACAATCCAGTTCTAATCTTAGCCAGAAGAAATGTAAGTTGTTGTATGGCTCAGCACATTCAGTTTTCCTCATCTTGATATTCTAGCCTAACCAGGGGGCTCAATTTTTTCCAGTT